CCAGCTGAGATGGATGGAGGTGGCAGCGCCCGGACGCCTGGGCCCCTTGAGAGACGGGGGGCGTCCCGGACGCCTGGGGCCCTGCGGCTGCTGCTTGGGGGGGGGCAACCGGATGCCTGGGCCCCCTGGCACCCTGAGCCTGCCGGACACCTGGATCCTCCCTGGGAATGTCCCGGGGGGAGGGGAGACTCTGGGATGCCCGGGCCCTCCCTAGGGTCCCCCAGGAGCCCCTGGACATCTCAGCCCCCCTTTAGGGCCCCCCAGATGCCTGACCCTGCCCCCCCTGGCCGTACCCCCATTTCCCCCCTAGAAGCCCCTTATGGGGAGGGGGGTCCCGGAGGTGGGGGGTCCTGGGGGGGCTCGGGGCCCCCAGCCCGGCCGCAGGTCCATATAAGGCTCGTGCGGGCGGCGGGGCTATATATGGGCAAGGTTCGTCGGGCCTGGACGCCTGGGCCCTCCCTGTGCCCGGCGGGGGGGGGGGCCCGGATGCCTGGGCCCTCCCTGCCTGGGTGGGGGGGCAGGTGCTTGGGCTGTCCCTGCTCCTGGGGGGGCCCTGGGCTCTCCCTGTGACTTTGCCAGCGGGCCCAGGCGTCCGGGCGGCTCCATCTCCAACCCCCCTCCCCGCCCCCCCACCCTGACCCAGATCAGCCAAAGGGCCCAGGCGTCCGGGAGCTCCCCCCACCCCCCCCTTCCTGGGGTGGGAGGTCAGGGCCAGGGGCGACCCAGGGAGTGACCTGGCCATGACCCTGTGACCTGGGAGTGACCCCATGACCCCCCTGTGACCCCTGGGTGCTGCTCTGACCCCAGGGATCATCCTAGGAGTTGCCCCCTAGCCTGACTGCTGACCCCGTACTGACCTCTGACCTCACGCTGACCCTGCGCCAACCCCRCACTGCCCCCTGCCCCTGCACTGACCCCTTGCTGACCTCTGACTCCTTGACGACCCCTTGCTGACCCAATGCTGACCCTGCACTGACCCCACGCTGACCCCTGACCCCATGATAACCCCTGACCCTGCACTGACCTCACGCTGACCCCTGACCTCCTGCTGACCCTGTGCTGACCCCTGACCTCATGCTGACCCCACACTGACCTCTGACCCTGCACTGTCCTTTCACTCCGTGCTGACCCCTTGACCCCATGCTGCCCCTGACTGTGTTGACCCTGCACTGACCTCAYGCTGACCTCTGACCTCCTGCTGACCACACGCTGACCACTGACCCCGCGCTGCCCCCTGACCTCTCGCTGCCCCCTGACCCCGTGTTGACCCTGCCCTGACCCCTGCCCCCGCGCTGCCCCCGCAGCTGGCGCAGAAGTACGACGCGCAGAGCGAGCGGGAGCTCCGCGCCTGGATCGAGGGCGTCACCGGGCGCCGCATCGGGGACAACTTCATGGAGGGGCTCAAGGACGGCGTCATCCTCTGCGAGTACGGCGTSACCCCTGACCCCGTGACCCCTGACCCCTGACCATGACC